GTCGTGCCCATGGATCTCAGCTATGCTGAGGACAACGGAACAGAGTTTCGAGCGGCCGGGCAGCACACAAACACACGATGGTGTTTTGTCTGTGTAGTCAGCCGTCACCTTCGGAACGGTTGCCCCCTGCGCAAGGCGCGTCAAGGTTCATCGAACCATTTTTTCCTACCAGTCTGGATCGTCGCGGAGAAACGACACCACCCATTAGTCGCGGAGCGACCTACTGAGGGTGAACTTAGTTCTATTGAGCCTCAAGGAGGGATAGGTTAGCAGGGCCCAGCCCCGAAGAGCTCCATGCTCTTGAACACGAAAGGTGTATGCATGCTGGTCGTGGAGGCGACCGTACAGGGCTTCGAGAAGCCATAGAAGATCCTCATCGATTCCGTGGCGTGGGGCAATTATGCACGTCGCTTCACGATGGAGGGAAGTCAGCTGTATGCTGAATCGCTGAAAGCGGGTGACATCGTCACTGTTCGCCTAGCGACGGGGACCTGTCACGGTCTCGAAGTTCCCTGTAGTCCTCGAAGTCAACTTCATTGACTTTGATAGCGTGGAACGCTGTCTAGTCGTAGACTTGGATGCAAGGTATGTCCTAATCCTAGGAATAGCATGGTTGGAACACCATGAGCCATGGATTGATTGGAGGTCAAAGAGCTTTGGCGCTACGCGCACGTCTCCCGGTGGAGATTTTTATGGTTTGGCGAGTTATAAAACCCACCTCTGCTAGGAGACAAAAGCGTTATTGGCGAGAGCACTGGACCGAGACGGTCAACGCGCTGGACATTGAAATTCTCGAGTTGGTATACACCAACGGTGTATCGGACAGGGTTCCCGCGTGGCTCGCGGGCTGATCGTGGAGTGGCACGTGACCCTGCTCAAGTTTCGGAGCAGTCGCTGCATGCCATGCGTGACATGGTCGGCCAAGGCCGAGGCATCGAGGGCGAGGCCTACGTGTTGCACGTGAAGTGGCAACTAAACCACTGAGCGCTGCTCGAGTGTTGAAGCAGTCGCTGCATGTCTTGCGAGACATGGCTGGCCAAGGGCCGAGGCATCGAATGCGAGACCCCCGTGATGCACGTAAAGTGGCACGTAAACTACTGAGCACTGCTATTTGTTGCGAAGCCGTCGCTGCATGCCATTGGTGGCGTGGTCGGACAGAGTCCGAGGCATCTTGGGCACGGCCTTTCGCGTGGAGTGGAACATTATCCACTGGACGAAGACTGCGAGGTTAGCAGCTCTTCGTCGGATGTTGGAGATAACATCGGAGCTCCAAAGGAGCGGACAGTGAGGGTGACACCAAACGACGCGGAGCGCGTGTTCACCCTGGTCTCACCGAGACATTGAACCTCTGTACAGAGGCGACGGCGACGCCGTATGCTGGATGCAAGAAGCCAGGCGTCGATCCTGTTCCAGGGTGTGTCTACCGTAGACGATGGCGCACAGTTATTCACCCTCGTCAGCGGTATGGCGGGGGGGGGGAAGATGGCGACGTCCGCCTCAAGACTATGCCTGCAGTAGATGCTCTTCGTGAGCTGGACGAAATGCCCCTTGAAGAGTTCGGCAGGTGGTCATTGTACGACCAAACGAGGAGATAAGCTCGTCATCGATTCTGGATGAAGCTGTCTTGGAGGACACCATTAGAGTGCTGAACGCACGAAGTTGATCGTCGATCCTACGGAATCCTTTTGATCCATACTATTCTTTGGTAAAGAAATTTCAAGTCGTCGTCTCCAAAGACTCGCCTTCAGTTCTTCCTCCGGACTGTAATGTCTGTCATGAGATCGACCTGGTTCCGGGAATCAAATACTGCGTAACACGCCATGGCCCCTGCCCTGGGTACAGTGCGACGTCATTGACGTCTTTTTCGGTTCATAGCACGACGCAAGGATGGTACGTGAGAGCAAGTCCCCCCATTCGTGTTCGGAAGCCGAACGGCAAGTGGCGTTTCGTTCATACTTACAATAAGCTCAACGCTGC